AATCAACAGTGAATGAAACTGCAGGAATTTTGTGTAAAGCGAGTGATTTTGAATAATTTTGAGCAGATTATTTCCTTTAAATATCAAAGATACGTTTTCCTAATATTTTTAGGTATTTCTTATAATTCTCTGTCTGTATTATGTGTTTCTTTTATTTTCGTCAATCATACATACTTCTATTTGACAAATTAAGTGTTTTTCTACTCTAAAAGGATTTAGTTTCAATAAACAGTTGGTACAAGCTGATACAGAATATATAATAAATAGCATATTTTTAACCTTAAAACTATGGTTAAAAACAGGGGAAAACAATATGTTAAGGGGTTAAGGTAGGAGAAAAATGCCAACCGGTGGTATACAAATAGGAAATGTTAGATTGTGTACAGGGTGTTAAACCTAAAAGATATCAAGGCAGAGCCATTCAGCTTTCCCTCCTGCCTTCTGGGTCTCACTGGTTTCTGCCAGACACAAACCTGAAGAAGATAATTCAACTCTGACAGTGAAGTATCCTCCCCAGACCTGGATAAGTAGCCAACATCCTCTCTCTCGCACACACACACCTACACACAGACACACACACAGAACACACAGACACCACACACACACACACACAAATTACATGCTCTTTGTGGGTTTTAAGAGGGTATCATTAATGCTTTATGTGAGCTCGCAGTAACATAACAGTTGGACGTAGACTTTAATCAAGCCCAGAGAGCTCAAAGCACTAGGCTATATAAAGCCACAACTTGGTTTCTGTCAGAAAAACACATAGATAACCTGAAGCCATGTTCTTTTGTTAAAATAGGGGCTTTATTTTTGTTTTTAACACTAAATGTACACATTGTTTCTGTATTGAACACCTCCAGAAAGTCGACTGAATTAGTATTCAGGCAGCTGTTATTTAAGTTTCACAAGCATGTTATGAAACAGAGAACACCTTGAGTGTAATTACATGTTGTTACCCAGATGAATATGTCTTCTAGAGGCAATTTACTGCTAAATTTCATTTTCACTGACTCTGAGTCAAAAACCATTAAAACCTCCCGAGAAAACCACAGGATTTGACTTGGTAGAAATGATGCACTTTTTATGATCAACTGAGGAAATAAGTGAGAGCAAACACAGTTTGAGTTTTTCATTATGTCTCTCAGAAGACTTGCAAAGTGTTTCTATTCAGATTGAGCCACAGAGTCTTCAGCATACCAGGAAAACACTCATCAAATCTAATGTTTATGCAGAGCATCTGAGAGCTTCATTTTGGAGAACTTACTGGAAAAAGAACATTTTGATTCTTCACATAAAACTTTAATTCAGAATTATAATTGTGAAATTGAAACGTAAATCTAAACAGCTGTAAACTGCTTGTAACAGCATGAAAACACTGTTTTTCACTTTTTATGAAAATATCTTGAAACACATTTCTAATTTGAAACCAGGCACAGACAAACAAGCATCCACAGTGTGACCTGTTTTTCTGTGTTTGCTTCTAATCAGATTGAATTAACCTTAAATGCAATAATAGCTCAAATGATGTTTCACAAGATTCACATAAGTGCAGACCCATTATGGCATTTTAGCTGTTTCATGTTCCCTTTCGCAGTCATTTTCCAAATTGGCTTCTCTGATAAAGCCAGCAGCCTCAGATGTCGGAAAAGGCTTGTCTGTTTCCACATATTCACACTCATTTCCTATATCCAAAATCAGAGTGAGCATATCCTAATGTCACTAAATTATAAATCATACATTGGTAAATTATATTGTTGTTGAGTGAAAAGCCTCATATTCTGGTGATTTTAATGCTTCTACTTTGTTCTGTTGTACTTCAGATATCTGTTATATCAGTCTCAATTCCCCATGTCTATAGGAGAATTATTTAAGTGCTAAAAATAGACAAAAGGCAGCTTTAATGTATTCCATTTTACACACTGTTATTTTCGGGATTGTCATATATATACTGAATGTAAAATGTTACTGTAGTTTCATTACAAGCTGTCTGTTTGGATTGTGAAATATAAGAGCTATGCAGCAAATGCAAATGGAATTTATGCAGTTATGTTGCTATTCAACATAAAAAAGAATGAGTAAATTATGTATTTTCCTCTTTCTCTCTCTCTCTCCCCTCTCTCTCTCTCTCTCTCTCCTCTCTCATTCTCTCTCTATAGTATTATAGTATATTATATATATATTATATATATATATAAATAAATGTATGTATTCGGCATCAGCATTTTCCATGGTGTATGAAAAAAATGTGAGATACATATGAATGAATACATGTTTGGGCCAGGTTTATTAAATGAAAGGTGAAATCCTTTTGTATGCTCATTAATCTCTCTATTACAGGTGTCTTTTTTAATGAACAAGGCACCTAAACAAATACATTTGTATCTACAGTATTCTGCAATCAAGATAAGCAGTTAAATACTCGTTCAGCTTCAGTGCTTCCTTTTCTTTATACAAAGAAAACACAATATCCTAGTCTGCAATAGATGATTCTGTTTGTTTTAAAAATTAAATTAAAAGAAGCATATTTTTTTATCTGTATGCTGATGTCATTAATAATTAATTAATGAGTTAGGATTATAAACAAATTTAATTTGTTGATGGTGTATAAAACTACTCAATTTTAAGGAGTTATTTTATGAAGCTATAGCTTTTGACAGAATAACTAAATGAAGGAGAATATAGGAGCTCAAATATGAAAATGTAGCCTGTTTTCATTCCCAGGGCATCAAATTACCGAATTCTTGACAGACCCCTCCCACATCTTAATAGTATACTTATTAATATATCATTGTAGGTGGATAATTACCTGGAAAGTAGAAATGTGTTTTTGTCACATTAGAATGAGCTGGTCCTCGTCCACAGAGTCCACTCCTACACGATTGTGTTCTTGTATTTACTATATTCGGCAACAACTATCAGAAGTTAAGAGACGGAAACTGCAAATGAAACAAGTCAAAAAGTAATGTTTTCTGATACTATTAAGAGACACCAAAGTCTGACATTATCAGATCTTATATATAGGGGCTTTAATTTCACTATTTGCACTACAAATATTTGGCAGCCTAGTACTGAGACAGTGTCTCAGGAATGGATGCAATCGACTATTTGGACTTTTGGATTCATCTGTTACTGCGCATCTCTACTGCCAAAGACAAAACAAAAACAAAACTGGCTTTGTATATCTGTCATGTTGGGTACTGAGTAAAAGCTAACATAAAACTTGAATCATAAATGTGCATAAATGTTTTGCTGTTATGAAGCTCTTTATTTACCAGATTTCAAAGTGCTCCACCTTCTTACTTTTTCATGACTTTGTACACTTTTGTTTTGCACTGAAGTCTGAAGCCTGTTTATCCTCTGTTCAAGATTTACGCATTTCTATTATTCACGTCCCTGATGAGGCTACACGATCCCATTAGCTTCAAACACTGGCAGGCCACGTGAGGTGCCAGCGACAAGCTGTCTGTGTGCTTGGGACAGTAAGCTACTGTTAAACCTCATTTATGGCAGTATATCAACAGCTGACCTCCAAACAATGATACCTTCACTGCACTACTTTGAATACATGTCATTTGGTTATGACAACAAAGCACATGTCTAGATATGCATATTTATGTTTTTGATCCCTAGGTAATAATATTTTAAACAGTTTTGAAGCCAGGGCTGTAGCTACAAGTGGTGACACTGAGATCATCTATTTAATTATTTTGTATTTTTGTGTATTTCTGGTGAATGGACTGTGCTTACATAATGCTTTTATACAATGTGCCTCTCATTCACCAATTCACATACACACCAAGTGCCATGCAAGGTGCTGGTCTGAAGATCTGGAGCCATGTGGAGTTCAGCGTCTTGCTCAGGGACACTTTAACATGTGGACAGGAGGAGCAACATCAGGGTGGGATCAAACCTTTTTAAGCCACAGCTGCTCTTTTTGGGTTTAGCATGTACATTTAAATAATAAAAAAAAAACTAACAAAAATAATAAAAAGATGGATAAAGAAAGGTATTTCTTTTGTGGCCAAACCACACACACACAAAATAAATAAATAAAAACAAGTGATGAAGATATCTCACTGAGGCTTTTCAAATCTTGGTAGTGTTCTTCAGTGTGAGTGTACATGTGTTATGTATTGTGTGTATTTTTGTCAGCAGCAAAAACAATAGGCCTTTTTCACAGAGGACAGTTTGACAGGTCACAACGGGAAAAGCACACGTGTAAATAATAATACCTTGCTGGTATTGTGCATCCTGACTCACTGTGACACTGTCATGAACACTGAAATATAATAATGGAGCATTAGCATTATTTTTCTTTTCTTCATAAAATAAAATAAATTGAAGGAATTAGAGGTACGACTCCTTGTTCTTGACTCACCAAAGCATACCAGCTTTGAGTGCCACTTCATCCGCCTCACTTGTGAATTCAGCCGCTTCATGACTCAGTTAACCGAGGAATGAGACAAAAACAATCCCGGCTCATTTGACGCACGGTACCTGTGAGTTCACAAAGTCACACGTCACTTGGTAGCCTGATATAGACCTGAGACAAAGGCGTGGATGAAACCCGAGCTTGCCAGCCTTCTTTTTGTTGCCATGACTACAGCAGCCATTTCCAGTGCCTCTGTGAAAAAAAAAGAAAAAAATGAAAGGACTCAGAGGACCTTTGGCCAGAGGCTCCACCCACTGGGGGAATTCACAGATCTAACCTGGCAACTAAAAATGAATATAATCAACTTATTTAGATAGGAACATGAAATGAGGCGGTTACAAATTGACTCATTCCCCAAACCCCTCAATCCTTTGTCCCTTCTCTTGTCCTTACATTCATTTCCATCCCTGTCCTGTTTGGCCTTTTCACAGCATGCAACTGGATGCCATTCAGGGTGTGTTGCTATTGCTGGCAGGTGTAGAGCAGGTTGAGCAGGTTGGTCCCTGAATGCCACTCTGCTGGGCCCTCCTCCCTCCTTCTCTGCTTCTCTCTCCAGGCCGACTGCTGATTCACTCTCACACGTTGGCAGCTCAGTGAAGAGATTTTGTTGCCTGTGCACCTGTTCTCATCTGATATAGGCTAAGAATAAGGTAAGGATTTACTGAGGAAGGATTTAATTCTTTGTCTTGTTTTTCTCAGGAAATGTGTGGGACTTTAAAGTGGATGGAGGGATTTTTGTGTTGAATCTGTTTAATAAGATTTAAGTCGCTGTCATATTTTTAATTTAGTTACTAAACTAAACTAAAGGAATCACCAATAATAAATAATGTTTTTTTAGAGAAATATCTTAATCTAAAGACTTATTTCACAATACACTTAAAACATGTAAAATGTTTTAAATTTGGACAGTTTTCGCCGCTGTTTCCTCCTTTGAAAGAGTAAAAATAGAGTTCCAGAAACAGAAATGCTTTTATTTTCAATGTGAAAGTAAAATGAGCTTGTTGCTAGGTGCCAAAACATCCCAACAACGAGTGACATACATACTGTAGACTGTATTACATAACCTAAACAGGGGAACATATACAAAGTAGTAACACAAGTGTTGTCAAAAATAAGAACCCTGTAGCACAGTGACTTATGAACTTGGGACAAGCGGTGGAGTATCACTTCTAAAGTAATTCCACAGTAATACACACCCTGCATTTATTCAAAGTAAAATTACATGAATATTAACAACAAATTCTACTTAAGAATTAAAAGTAAAAGTACTCTTTATTTGGAATTGGCCCCTCAGTCAGTGTTTTATTATCATATTATTGGATCATGGATATTGTTTCAACTTATACAGTATGTTTTATATGTAAAATCTAATAAAAGTAAACAATAAGACCCTCAATAAATCCGTGAGTAATAAGTACAATATTTCTCTCTCAAATCTCAGAATCTCTGAAAAAGGAGTAGAGGTAAAAGGAAGCATAACATGGAATTACAAGTACCTCAAATTGTACTTCACTACAGTACTTGAGTAAATGTACTTAGTTACTTTCAATCAGGATTTTGTCTAACACACATATTGAGCTTTCTACGATGCAGTAAATGTACAACATAAATGTAAAATGTGATAATAACACGGGTGAACTTTAAAAAGATTGAATGATTCACAGCATAAATGTCAGTTAAGAAGTGTCTGAATGTGGGTTGAAAGAGTTCACGGTGTTGACAGGATGTATAATTGTGCTTCTTTAAGTCTTTGGGTGTGTTTATGTGGGACTGAATCTCTGTGTAGTCACGGTTGAGAGAGCTGTGGAGGTGATAGCTGCTACAAACTCTGACAGACCAGCTGAGTGGGAACTCTTTTCAACAGGCGGCTTCTCTGAGTGCGAAGGGTCAGAAGTAAACATCCCTGCCTGTTTCTTCAACCCGCCACGGTGCAGAGAGTCTTTGGTAGGACGCTGACAGCCAAATACTCTCTCAGTGGGGTGAACAGTTTGCTGCTGTGATTTTGTTCCACACAGCTATGCCCAATGTGATGACGGATGTAAGGATATTTTTAGTATCGACAGGAAGTGACATGTTGAGTACACAAAACAGGAATCACTGGTTTGAAATTATATATATAATATGCCATACAAACAGGAAATAGTGGTCATATTTGTCGTCGGCAGATATAATTCAATACAGGTCACCTGTTACATTTTTGAGTCATTTCTAAAGTCATAGATTATCATTGATCTTTGCGTGATCTTGTCCCCGTTGACCATGTGCTAATTTACGCAGTGCAAAATCAAAACAAACCAGTAGCTCTGCTGCGTCTGTTACACTGGTTCTAAATGAACATGTCTCATTTACACCTAATTCTCAGCTGCCTGCAGCATAATTACACTCCACAGAATGTTCAGTATGTGAGGAGTCACACTTCAACATGCTCTGCTAGTTGTATTATGTGGCGAGGGTGGGTTGAAATGCAACAAAGGTCATTGCCGTTTACATGGTACACATTTTAGTCCCTAGACCATCATGACAACCACCCCAAAAAATCTCACAGAATTTGGAGCAAAGTCACTGATAGTAGTGACATGTAAAAAAGTAAATGTAAAAATATAAATTACAATTGGGATTTTTTATAATTTAAACTTTGTGAGGAATCATGTTTTTTCTGTCAGATTAGTATAGCAGACAGCCTTTAAAACAATCGATCAATGGCAGTTAAAGGGAGAAATTCCAACTGCAATACTCAATACCCTTCATTGTTGCAATTAGGAACAAAACACACCACCATAGTTACTGCATGTTTTCTAAATGGACCCAGAATTTAGTTCACAGATGTGGATTTTAATCTCTAGGTGCAAATGAAGCTGTCTTAAATATTATTTTCACTGTCCAACTGTTATAAGCTCTAAATTGTTCACCCTATCTTGGTAGATTGAGCTATTTTCTGTAATTATGTGCTCTTAGTGTGGTATAACCGGCAAACTTGAGCCGTTTGAGTGGTCCTGCGTTTACACAGCAGACTGCACCATCAACAACCCACAGGTTTTTCCATTTATTTCCCACAGAGAAGGAAAGAAAAACACAGAAACATGGCTGATGTGTGGATGATAAACAAGGTTGTTGAGAAACTGACCACAGATGAACATTCCTGTCCCATTGCTAATTGCCAATCAATACGATTGCTTGTTTCCATCCTTATTTAAGAACAGCGGTCTCATCTTTTGGAAGTGTGAAATGGGTGAGAATTAGCTTGCACCTTTTTCAGAAATTCCAATTTATATTTAAAAGACTATGGATAGATTTGATTGACAATCCACTGGTTTAAAAGAAAATTAGTTCTTTCCAATTTATTTTCAGTTAGTGGTAAATGGACTGCACGTATATAGTGGATTTGTACCTTGATGGACAAAGCACTTTACAATTGGCCTCTCATTCACCCATTGATACACACACACACACACACACACAGATGGCAACGGAGCTGCCATGCTAGGCGCTATCCTGCCCACTGGGAGCAACTTAGGGTTCAGTGTTTTGCCGAAGCACACGTTGACATGTGGACAGGAGGAGCAGGGGATCGAACCACCAACCTAGAGACTAGTGGATTACCCGCTCTAGCTCCTGAACCACAGCTGTCCTATTGATTCATTAAAAGAGGATATTAAGGAATCAAGGACATTTAGTTTTTGTGAAAGTTTGCAGTTCCTTCATGCTACACACAAAGAAAAAGATAAATACATTTATAGGATTACACAGAAAACCAATAAAATAGAAACAATATATAGTTATTTATATAGATATATACATTCACGTATATACCCAAGAAATTATTATTTATTTTTTTTAAACGCAACTAGTTATGATAATAATATATTATTATAATATATAATTATACATATTCTGTGATGACAGATTTGCATGTTCAAACATATATTGCTGCAAGCCACAGCATTACACACTGTAAACGAAGCCTTTTGCACTCTTTATAAAAATCAGCTCAGAACAAAGCAACCAATCAACAAAGTGACTCGCAGTGAGAGTGCCCTGTAGGGAATAACTGGAGCTGCAGTCATTTGTGTGTTGGAGTAAAGCCGAGGGGAGAACACATTGCTCACAGGGCACCTGTGTAAATTCACGCTGCCAGTAAGTCACAGATTGTGTTGGGACTGTGTTGAATTGTGATAATTTGCCATGTAACAATGCAGGGACGACTGCCTTGAAATTCACCAACAAGCTCCTGATGTATCAGATGGGGATGTCGTGTTCATAATGTTGTAGGCTCCATCAACTGAGCAGATCCCTCAAAGATGGGAGGTGGGACAAGATTAGTCGCTCAAGGATTTTCACTATGACTTGTGTCAGTGCAGCTGACCTGTGCTGGTGATTTTGTGCTCTTGGAAAATAGGAACAAACAGAGATGTCTTGTTACACGCTGAGTGTTCTTGTGTGGCCAGGGAGAGTTCAAAGGCTGTGATGAACACAAGTTTAACACCTGTGGCTCCTTCCCGATGGTGCTTATCCCAGTCAGGAGGTATACAAAGTTACTGGGAGAAAGCAGAAAACAAAATGTTATTATATTTGTTATTTCCTAAGTAAAGATGCATTTATGTCCAGCCTCCAATGTCTTTATATTTTGACTCAAATTTACAAGGGAAGGATTTTTAATCATTAATCATTTAATGCAATTATATTGGTATGGTTTTGGAGGGATGCCACAAAAATATATGCTGAATTGCATGGTTGCAACTCTGCTTCTAAGAGGTTGTTCTGTGTTTAATCTGTGTATAATTTCAAGTTTCATTTTGACGTATCACAGATATACTATAGTGTATTGTCAACATACAGTTATGTAGAGTCAGGGGATATAATTGCAATCAATAATAATAATAAGACAATTATTCCCATGTTAATGTTTATTGCGACTTGGCAAATGTATGTAAAGTCACATAAGTCACTCAAGATCCACTTGCTTACCTATTGTTGAGCTATCAATCGTATAGCATGGTCTTCATTAGCAGATAAAGTTTACTCAGTGATGTAGAACTGTAGATGGATGACATTTATTTCAAGAAATGCAAAAATGTTTTATGTTCTGTCTTGTGTTTCAGAGTAAAACCAAAAGGGAAAATGGAAGTGTATTTAAAAATCACAGCAGTTCTCCTTCTACTTGTCCAAGCCTTTCACCTGGCATCGCTCCAAGACTCAACCGACTCTCCGGGGCGGACAATTGATAAAGGCTGGCTCCGTGAACTACCTAAAAATACAGCTGGAAGTCAAAACACTACAGTTCCTGAAGTGAAGACAGAATACGATCCGGCCAACAGTGGGACACCATCTGGCTTTATGGCAATATATAATGAGGAAGAGGAGAATGGCGATGCAAATGATGGATCTGATGATGTAACTGTTATTGCTACCACCGAGCCTCCTGCAATGCTTAATGTTACAACCAAGCAACCTGAATTTCAAAACGCTTCAACTGCAGATCCCACAAACTCAAGTCAGGTGAACATGACAGACGCTGAGGAGGAATTTCATAACTCAACGACCACTCCTCAAAACTCTACAACTGATCTGAGTCCCCAAAACTCCACAACCTTGCCAGATTACTCCAATCACACTGATTTACTGACAACAACCTTGGCTCCAGAGGGCAACACTACGCAAGAATCCACAACAAAACCCGACAAAGATACAGGGTTAATTAATGCTACAGAATCTACGACGACAACTGTAACAACCACATTGACACCAGAGATAAACGAAACACCCACCACATCTTCATCTACAATGACACCAGAGATAAACGAGACACCCACCACCTCTTCATCGACAACAGTCTTCCTATCTGAGACCACAGAAATGAGCCCTGAGACTACAACTGCCGCCGCTCCAAACACACCTGAGAAGGCCAACAAGACAGAAAAAGGTTCAGCCCTAGGGACCAACTCAGAAAGAGGTACTGCTGCAGTTTCAGGTGTCACAGTATCTGGTGCACATTGCTATGTCCAGAAAACCGCTTTGTGTGTTTTCCTAAAAGCATGACATCACATTATAGACCGATACCAGGGAAAAATTGTATTGTATATGAAATTCCAAGCCCTCCTGACTGACTAAGACAGAAAATCCTTTACAGATCCCCTTTAGAGACTTGGTTTGAAAGTAACACTATGCTCATTGCTAAAGAGCATATATCACTGTTGCTTGTTTTACACATTGCTTTTTTTCTGCCCTTTCCCTGACCCACATTTGCTTGCATCTATTTTCCCACTGGCAGAATACAAACGTCCCTTCTTTCAAAGGAAAAGGTTGGATTGGGTTTCAGGTGCTATCGATGTGACCGCTATGAGTGAAGGGGTCTATTTCAACCACCTTCTAAGCAGGACAATGAAACCCTGTTTTAGTGGCAAAAAAACTGAAAGAGGGACTGAAGTCCAAGATACTTGTGCTGCCTCTTTGCAGGGGCGTGAGACTAGCCTTTGGTGTCGACCACAAGATCAAGTAGATAGGACTGGAAAAGGTTGCATGCCATATACAATAGTGCTAATAGATGTTCATATCTATCATATCTATCAACTCCAAAGTCTACTTTTCCTGCATCATGGAATGGGGAAAAAGGGGCCTCTAGAGAGCTGGTACGAGTTTAGGATTAAAATAAAACTCACATTGCATGGACAGATGTGACAGCAGGACATAACACTAACAGATGATGGCAATAAACAGTGGGAAAACAGTTGTGAAACTGCGGGTAACACAAGAAGAAAAAACTGCCTCACAGTCACCATGACAGGCACAGTGTGTGCACAAAAGCACAGACGGTTGAGTACAGATAAACATAGTCTATAAATATGAACTTACAAGGCAAGTTTGCTTTTACTGACATCAAAAACAAAAAACAAACATTCACTCCAGTGGCTTGACCGTACTAGACCAAGGTAACATACAGTTATTACAATGACGTCAGGTCCTTTATGAATCATGTTTCATCATAATATAGCAAGACAAATAGTCTACAGCTTTGCAAGCAGCTCTGTGAGGCTGGCACAGTGGTACCGTGAGCCGTAGGCTAACATCAGCATGTTAATATGCTCACAATGTCAGTGTTAACAGGCTGATGTTTACCAGGCATAATGCTCACCATTTTACTGTAGTTGCCTGTAACTTGTAACATAGCTAATTAGCACTAAACACAATGTACAGCTGAGGATGATGGGAATGTAATTAATTTTACAGGTAATTGGACATAAAGTCGGTGAAAAGTCAGGGGATCACTTTCACATTCAAGGCAATCCATCCAATAGTAAATTTCAGCTAAAGCCATAAATAAATATCAACCTCATGGAGGAAAAGTCAGAAGAGCACCAAAGTCAGGGATCCTTGGGAAATCATACCAAATTTCAAAGCAATCCATCCAGTAGTGTTTGAGCTATATCACACAGACATTACAATCCATGGAGCCAGTATGCCTAAATACACCTATAACCTACAATAGAATATAATTTTATTTATGTATGTCATTTTTTGCTGAATCTATTGGCATGAGACAAAGAAAATAATACATACAATCGCTGTATACATATACAGTGATGACATCTTTACTTAAAAGCTCCCTAGCAAGAAAAAAATAAGACATAACTGAATCAAATACTCTCACTCATATTTTATTATGTCTACAAAAAATGCATCTAAAGCAAACAAAAATTGAGATAAGGCTACACTGTAAGAAAAAAAATGGTCTTTTGGTTCAACTTGCCCCAGGTTAGGGGTAAATTGATCCTAGCAAGTGGGTAAATTGAGCCATTTGTAGATAAACTGAGCCACTGAATTATTTATGTGTAAGTCCTGATAAAATACAAATGTACTATTTCTGTGTCAAAGTATACTGAAAACAATTCAGTCACTTTCACAAACTGCCCACCTCCCATTGCTGTTGTTCTGAGCACAAACTGTAAAATATGAAGTTCTTTATGTAACTTCAACAATTATGCTTTGTAAAGTACAAACTAAGTCTACAGTTTCACATTATGTCAAAACTCTCATTGTTAGAATATAATGGGTCAATCTTGTTAGTAGAAGCACTTGTCAGTTTATACTTGATGTTTTTCACACCTGTACAGCAGCTGTCATAATGTGAGGGCACAGATGTTGATGTTTAATGATTAGCTCTGTGCTATATTTACATGTAAAGAATTGTGATATTTCAGTGATCCGTGGACACAGTAGTAATGTTCAGTCACGTCACTTTATCTAGATGATGAGCACAGCCTGACGCCTTAAAATATTCAAATGTATTCAAGAAATTATTATGATTTTGGCATGTTAATTGCATTAATTATCTCAGCGTAAATTAGACAAATCTGTACAGCTGACTAATTGGGATGTGTATCTATGCAGAGTGCTGCCACTGGAAACACAATTTCAGAAAGACATTTCAGCCATAATTATCTGACAATTAACCCTCAAAGACAGCAGTTGATATAAATAATTTTGTTGTTGACAAATTATGTATTACTCTCTCCCATGCCCTCGACCCCTCATTCCTCCAATAAAGGTTTGGAATCAGATCTCCAGAGGAGTAAAAGAAAGGGAGCGTGGGGGGCTGTACTGGGAACAGCGGTGGCTGTGGCCTGCGTGGGACTGGTGGCCTACGTCATCCTGAAAAAGAAACACCAGAAGGGTTTCTCTCACAGGAAACTGGTTGAGGAGTATCCTTCAGACCCAGGTATGTTAACTCCTACACGCCCCTATACAGTAAAGGCTGAACTTGGTTGGTATTTTGATGGAACATCAACACAACCCTAGGGCATATGTAATTGTTATCCGTCATTGCTTGATCAGGATGTAATTAGGGTTGCCAACTTGATCAGAAGTTTTGAAGTTTAAGATGTTTTTATTCTTGTTCCTCCAGTTGAATGTTTGAGCTTAACTGTGCAGAATGATGTATGTGCAGAGTCTGACACTAGAAAGACGTTTTCACATTCATCTGCTGAAAGTGAAAAGTTTCTCTGCGCTCACTGAAAATCCGATTTTAAGAGGTGGGGCTTACGAGCATGATTTGTGACATCATAAATAGTTTAGAAGTCAATCCTGGTACAGTCTGCAACTTACATGCTTATATAAAAGTGTGATTTAGAAAGCCACCAGTGCACATACACTGAGAATGGACATTACAGGGAAGTATAAGACATATTGTGTCCAGCAGGAAACCTTTAGAAATGAACAACATATGCATATTTATAGGTTCTGGAACTTTTAATGAGGTCTTTTTAAGGATTTCATTTTGTAAATTGCAGATTGCAAACCCTAAACGTAACGTTAAAATGAAACAGTGCTAAATATGTTTCTCATTATTATTGTGCATTGTCACTCACGTACTATTTCCCACTAGTTCAACATTTTAAGGAAACAGCCTTTATACATATCCCCTTGATGATCCCTTTTTTTATTTTTTGAATAAACAAACAAGATTTAATGTGTTAATTAGTGAGCTTTAGAAATCCTGATGGGCAAATTATGTTTCCTCCAGTTTTTATGCTACGCTATGGTAACTAATAGCTGTAGCTACATATTTAACATAAAGATATGAGGATGGCGTTGATCTTCTCATCTAACTCACAGCAAGAAATTGTATACATGTATTTCCCAAAATGCCTTTAGCCTAAGCCTAAGCAAATAACTCCATCCGGCTTTAATAAGGTAACCTTACCAAGCAAAATAGGATCATGGACTATGACAGTTTGCAACTTGTTTCATTCTTTCCATGAATGTTCTCACACTTCCTCATACATTTCTGCTAACTGAAATCAAGCTGCATGTTTTGTTTCCTGCTGCAGCATGCCGACCGGTATGCCAACATATTTAAAAATGAGTCAGATTACTAAATGGAAGGTCTGAATGCCCATTTCATACATGCTGTACATTCTCAACATTCGATGAACAATAGGATGTTTTTCAATGTGAACTGATCCTTAAAGGACATGCTTGCTATGCCCGAAAGCAATCTGCCAAAACAAAATGGAGGAAAAGCTCTGTTGTGGTAAACAGCTCTGCAATTCTTTTTACAACATAACTTTAACAATGCAGAGGGACGCAGTGCTCTGTATAGTGGCAGCATGAGAAATTAACTACCCAGTCACAGCAGCGTATGAAAATTTGTTCAACACGAACACGCCCATAAGCTGCATGCTCAAACAGTAATGATAAAAGACTTCTGAGAAAAAAGAGAAAGCCTGCCACTTTGAATTGTATGCGTAATTATTCCATCCACAGAGAATAAATAATTGTTGGCTACACTGTCAATCAAACACACCAACCCGCCCACACAGAGGCAAAAGGAGCATTTCTGATCCCCAAAGACTTATTTTTTCTTTCAGTGATAAAAAATAATAGTTAGAAATTAATCTAAAAAACACACTTTTACAGTTAGATTTTTGCCTTCTGGAATACTTAATCCCATTAGTATTTTAAGATGCGTTACCAAAGGCCAACTACTCCACCCACAGTACACATACAAGTCAAGTCAATTTTATTTATATCCTAAAATTACAAATTTGCCACCCTCTATCATTTGACCCGCAGTTTGTTTGTAAGAAAAACAATTCACGAAATATGCTATAAGGGGAAAAATATAAGGTAGAAAGCTCTTTCACTACTTAGCCATGTTATTAAATGTTAAATCAACATGTTTTTTTTATTTTATAAATTAATTTTAATGTTTGCTTGTCAAAGTATCTGTTACAGTTTATCATTTTTCCTCTCCATAAACTGAGGCAAATTCTTCTCAGTGGACCCAGGAGGGTTGGCAACCCTGTCTCTGTGTTGCAGTTGTTATTTTGTAGTTAGGCTTAAGTGTACCCATTTACCTTCAATCTGCCTTGTTTACTCTTCTTAGTTTAGTCAGTTATGTGTAGTGATTTCCTACACTTCGCCAAATGACTTTCAAAAAGCTCCTCATAATGGGTATGGACCTGTTGAGTAAAAATCATCACTTCCGTTGAGTCAATATTGTCCTCTGCACCTACAAGTACTGAATGCAAGAAAATACATTATTTTTGTATGATTGATTTAAAATAAAAAACAAATATTGGGTCAAAATGGTTCAAAATAGAGGCTCAACAAGGGAACCATGTTTTAAAACACAAAGTTGGACTGTAAATACATCAATATGATGTTGCATTGTCTATGTTTGGCCAGTTATCTGTGGGAATAAGAGCTTTACAATGTTTCTTTACGGTTTTTCCTTCAATTCCAAGTTTAGTTGCAAGTCAGATACATAGACATAGACATACAATACACCAAAAACTATTTGAACTTTGTATGTATGCAAAGTAAACTAAAGTAGTTTCTGTGTAATATAAGTTCACAATAAGGTTGCTTTAATCGAAGAGTTCAATGGTACAAATGTTAACTCGTCTAATTTCTAGTTCTCAGATTAGACAACACCGAACCTTTGGACTTGAACCTCGGTGGTTCGGCCTATTACAACCCAGGACTCCAAGGGGACAACATCCAAATGACCAACTTTCCAGGAGGCCGTGGAAACTGAAAAGACTCCCAAGACCAAAGTCATGAACTCCCTCGAAAGAAAATGGGCCAATATTGGCATTTAATACACAACCTATAATGTGGAGATTTGTAAATAAGACTGTCTGAAAGTGATATTTGTGGATGGAAATTACAAAAGAGTCTGTTGTCAGCCACCAAATATGGCGCTTATGTTAGATTATGTGTTGTGTTGAGTACATTTATTGCATTGAAATAGAGGGATTGCTAAAGGGAATCTATCTGAACTACACTACTACAGCCAAAATTAACTGTCAGCCATTTATGTATGTTGCCAAAGGGAATCAAATGAAGTCTTTCCTAATGAAGAATACACTTTGCAGTCAATGAAGCGTGTTAAAAAATGTATATTTGTTCTAACTTTTGGTTTAATTTTAATTATGTTTTGTGTAAATAGGAGCCACAAAATGCTCTTAAAGACAAGGAAATTTGCACTATTCAGATCGGCGATAAGAAACGATTCCTGCTGATACAAAACATTTGTAAAAAAAAAAAAGAAAAAGAGAAAAGTGCTGTTGTTCTGCAGCCTAAATAACAGATGATACAGCTGCCCTGTTGAGGCCTTTGCAACAAATCCATCTCAACTATCACCTGCTGGTATTGCACAAGGAAGGCAATAAGAAGTTAAATTTAAACTTCGCTATTCAGATTTTCCACAACTGGCAGTCACAGCCAAAGTCTGAGAATTGAACCGTCAAACCAAAGACTGGAGTTTGTTTTTCTACACCAGTGAGGGAGGTGGAGGGAGGCTGGGTGCTGTTTTGTTATTCATAGACAGAGGTTTTGGTATTCAGGAAGGGAGTTGTGTATTTGGTCTTAGCACTACTCAGTAGCAACAACTATATCATCATAATATACTGCTTAAATCTTCTGACCTCCAGGTGTCCAAACAGAGATTTGAGTTTCTCCTAGCGACTGTGTGTACCTTGAAGAGTTACATAGCATTTACCTGCTGCATATCTAGAGCAAAATTAGAACATATCTGATGCAGAAATTTTTTTAACTTTATTTTTTTATTATTATTCTTCTCCTAAGTTTGCTTTAACTTTGAGTGACAACCTTCAGCAAGAACAGTCTCTTTTTTACACTGAGACAACGTGGTTGGGAAAGTAGGGATTAGGAAGGGAACTACACAGTCTTGTCCTTGTATGTATCTTATGCCTTTGTATGATAAAATCTAACAATGTCTCATAATTGCTAATTTCTAAACTTTCTTACTTTTCTTTGTTATACAAAAAAATTACACTTTTATAACAGTATATATAAAAAAATTCATCCTGAAAATCCATCTTCCAGCTCCCTCGATCCTTTCACTCATCATTACGTGAGTGAAGCCTGCACTCAATCAATATGCGTCCTTATTATGATTGATATGTGTCTCAGCTCGGCCTAAACAGCCAACAATAACTCGGAGATGTGTGATTTTTATTTGGTGTGGTTAGATGGTTCGGTGGCAGGCAAGGCAGGTCTGCTTCCTTCCATGTTCTAATTTCAGACATCAATCAGAGAGAGGAATTTTGTGTCGCAGTGTTAAAGAATCACAGTGATTACCGCAGAAAGATTGCAGGGTGGATGAATAATGGGACACATGTACATCAGTTGCAACTGCTTATGAAATGTAATGGGACCTGATGATGCCTTAATAAACAACCAAATCCCCTAAAAACCTTTCCTTTGATTTGACATGAAATGTGTTTACATGAGTTCTCCGTCCAAAATATTCGAGGTATTCTAACAGAAATGGTTATTTTATTCATTAAACACACACAAAAACATGCAGGCAAACACACACTGCTTATTCAGTATCAAGAATATATTTGCACAAGTGAGGGTTTTGTTCATTCATCACAAAAATATGTGCCCTGTGGAGAGATTGTGCCTGTTTTAATTAAGCACAACAATTTCGGATATGACTGTTTGGCAGGGTGCTGAAATCAATTAACTGACGCCAAGTCCTCGCTAAAGAATGTACATATTTCATTGGGGGGTATTGGCAGGTCAATTTACACTGAGCCAAATTAATTTGAATGAAATTAAACGATTGCTATCTAAATTGAGGCTATGTCAAATTTATTATTGGCTAAATTCAAATTCATTTTCTTCCAGCTAACTCACTGGAAATAAGTTTAACCTATAAGATTAGCCTGTTGTAATAAGCCAAAACACTTCCTTTATCAGATGAGCCTTGACAACAATTAAACGGTCAACAGTGCATTATGCTGAAACACAGATTACTGATGCTTTCACTTGGCTTTCACTTGGAACATGTGTTTTTACTTCAAATTGCAATTACTAAAAAGAAGAATTTATTTTTCATTAGAGTTCCCGGGGGTACTGTCTTACATTTTATTGGTATAATATCTGTGTGGGTGGGCACTAAAAATAGTAATATCAAATAGATAGATAGATAGATAG